ATCTATGATCCTAAAAATTAGTGCATCCTTGGATACTAAATATAGAGATTTATTGGTGAAAAAGGATCAAATTAGTACAATAAGTATTTAACAAACAGGGAGAAGCATTATAGAGATTAGTTTTTGTACTCTCACGATTTTGACGAAGTATTTTGTTTCCTTTGTAAGTTATTTAAAGAAGAAATCACAACCAAATAATCTAACATATAAAAAGATAAACAATTGGGGACATTCATAAAGGTGCTTACAATATACTTATCATCAATTTTAAGTTTTAAATTTAACAGTAAATACTTTATTTACTACTATTTTACAAAAACCTTTTCTTTAGAGCCTCAATTTGATTTTCATATAGTGATTTCAAAATATCATATGATCGGACATGATTTTAACATAAACAAGTCTCACTTACACATAAAAGAAAAAAAGCAATAACAAAAGGAAATCAGAATAATAGAGTAAAAACAACAAACAAAGATTGAAACCCAAACAGTATAGAGTTGGTGTAGGAAATTTTGTATGCATTGCTTTCATCATCTTCAATGTGCTCAGCCACATTAAAATCACCTGTAACCACCCAAAAACAAAATAATTCACTTTTCAAATAACGTATTTCACTTTCAGTAGAACCATATCGACCCTTGACATCATTTAACACCATTTTGCAAATATAACTCGCTTTGCAAAAATATTTTTATATTAAAAAAAATATTCCAAATACATTCTCTTTGTTTTTTAACTTGTCTTGATTAATAAAAAATACTTTTATTTATTTGTTTTTAGACAAATTTGTCTTGCACCTTTTTTATTATTAAACAAATATAACCACACAAATAATAATTCGTATACAATTAACTTCAATTAATTATAATATTATACAAACAACAGTTTATTGAATAAAAAAAATACGTTTATAAAACATTCATTTTAAGAAACAACAATCACAAATATATAAACTCAATCTTAAAACTAAAATAAACCGAATATTAACAAATTCATGTATAAATTCAAACTTGAAGAACCATAAATGACACAAAGAAACTTTAACACCAAATTTAGTGGTTAAGAAATAGTACAACATTTTATGTTTATACTATTCATAACATCAAACTTGATGTTGAAAATGATGTTCCGTTCGAGTATCTTAACACCATATTTACACCAAAAATAGTGTTAGGTTAAAGATTCCTTAACATGTTTCATTTATATTATTCTTCTAGCAACCTTTAGTTAGCCATCATATATATCATATATATACGTGTGCAGGTGTTTGACATAAGTGCTTACCCTAATACCAACAGAGTCCAATCCATAATGGAATGAAAGCTCCCACACTATAAGTCTGTAACTGTTGAGACTCAAACCACATACACACACACGTCAGGTATGTGACATAAGTGTTTGCCCTAGTGCCAACAAAGAGCCGAATCCACAATGGAATTAAAGCTCCAACACTGTAAGTTTGTAGCTATTGAGAGTAGCTATTGAGACTCGAACCACATATATACACAGACGTATATACACAGACGTTAGAGACACATGATACGTTAGAGACACATGCGTATCAGACGTCTGACATAAATGTTTGCCCTAGTACCAACAAAGATCCCAATCCACAATGGAATTAAAGCTCCTACATTGTAAGTATATAGCTATTGAGACTCGAACCACATACATACACAGACGTTAGAGACACACACGTATCTGACTTCTGACATAAGTGTTTGCCCTAGTACCAACAAAGAGTCGAATCCACAATGGAATTAAAGCTCCAACACTGTAAGTCTGTAGCTATTGAGACTCGAACCACATATATACACAGACGTCAGAGATAGATACGCCGAAACACAGACGTAGTACCAACAAAGAGCCGAATCCACAATGGAATTAAAGCTCCAACACTGTAAGTATGTAGCTATTGAGACTCGAACCACATATATACACAGACGTCAGAGATAGATACGCCGAAACACAGACGTATCACACAGGCGTATGTAACGTCCGACATAAGTGTTTGCCCTCGTACCAACAAAGAGCCGAATCAACAATGGAATTAAAACCCCCACACTGTAAGTATGTAACTGCTAAAACTCGAACCCTTAACATTTACTACAAGCATACCACCCCAAAACCAAACTATTACCTCTATGTGGGCCATAGCTACAACCCGCTTTTATCGTTTCCTTCACATCATTTACTGTAGCACGATTATAAAAAACATAATGTGATAACATATCATCAATGCAATTAAGCACAAGATGCGTCTCCTTTAAACACGGCCCATTGCAGTATTCATCGGTGTATCCAGGTGGCACGTTGAGTTGACCGCTCTCAGTCAACCTACAAGACTCTTCACAACTCCTATAGATCTGCCACGAATCAAAATTCATGCATCAGAGTTGTACGTAACTGTACAACTAGTTAAAGCAAGGTAACATAACCTTACATGTTTATCACTAAAACATTGAAGAGCCTTCACAATAACCACCTCAGGTTCATCCCCACCACCACCACTCACCACCCCATGACCACCATTACCACCGTCTGGTTCAGGTAAATACCCCAGTCCAGTTCCAGCAATTCCCGTTTCAGATTCCCCTGTAACATATCACTTTCATCAAGAAAACTTTTGTGTCAATTTTTTTTTTTATTGAAATTTATTAAAGGGTTACCTGTTTTGACAAGAATTAAGAACAAGAGCATCAGAGGTAAAAGAGATTGCTTCATTTTGTTTAAAGATGTGTGTGTAATGAAGAATTATGTGATTATATCTGCCATTTATTACATTCTTGATGAATGGAAATTCATCTTTGTGGGTAAAAAGTGTGTAGAAAAAATATTTTTTGGGGAAATTTGATTGGTAAATGAGAAAAAATTCAAGAAAATTGGTGGGTTAGGGTTGACTAAAAAGATATAGTAGCTGGGAGAATCACCAACATTTTTCTTCATTCAACGTTTCTTTAGCTAAAATCAAACCTAATTTACAGTTTTTCCATTGAGCATGCATACCACGAACAGGGGCAATAAGGTAATTTTGACTAAGGTCTCTTGGATTTGCAGATCATTCTTAATACAACAATTCACAACACTGAATACCCTCTTGTGGTTTTCATTTTATCAAAATTGATACTCATTTTGTCAAAAGAAATTGGAATGCTTGAGTGATCGCATCGAAATATACATGAAATGACCAAAATACCCTTTGACATTGACATGATAAGGTAGCCTTCTAAATCCAAATCAATGTCGTCAATCTTTTCTCATTGTAACAAAGGGTAACCAAGTAACTCTTGAAAACTTTCCAAAAAAAAACGTATTGTTGTAACTAATCGTGAAATGTCCAAAATACCCTTCAACATTGACACGATAAGGTCGCCTTCTAGACCCAAATCAATGTCTTCAGTTTTTTCTCATTGTAACAAAGGGTAACCGAGTAATTCTTGAAAACTTTCGAAAAAAAACGTATTGTTGTAACTATTCGTAAAATGTCCAAACTACCCTTCAACATCGACTTTATATCTGTCAATAAATAGCAAACTTTAAGCTAACCTTGATGTACTGTAGATTGAAACCGGCAATGAGGCTGCAAGTAAACTCCAGGATGTACAACTATTAAAGCCAAAGGTACAAATCTTTAAATTGCTTGTGATTTTTTTATAAAATTGAAATTGGTTTCAAAACAATTCCCTTCTCTTTACACTTGAGAAACATATCTCGGGCCTCAATAAACCTACCAGATTGAACTAAACCATCAATATACAAATTACAGGTAAAAGAATCAGGGGTACATCCGTAATCTTCCATCGATACAAACAACTCTTTAGCTTCTTTATATCTCCCCAAATCAAACAACATCTTAATAAAACCACTATAAGTAAAGTTATCAGGAGTCAAACCTAAAGTCAACATCATCTGTAAAACCCTTTTCGCCTTCTCAACTTCTTTCATCCTACAAAAACTCTGAATCAAAGCATTGAATGAATAAACATCCGGTTTGACCCCGTTGACTTTCATCTTCTTTAACAAACCCTTTGCTTTATAAACATCACCGATTACACATAAAGAATGAATCAAGATATTGTAAGTTATAGAATTCGGATGAACACCCCACTCAACCATTTCTTTCAAACAATCAAAAGCATCATCAATTTGATGGGTCCTACAAAGCCCATGAATTAATGAACTAAAAGTATAAATGTCTGGTTTAAATCCACCTTGTATTAACATCTTAAGAAGCTCTCTTGCTTCTTGCATATCACCAATCTTGCAATGACATGAAATGAGGGTGTTGAAAGTGACAAGATTTGGAGAAATGTTGAGGCGAATCATGTCTAGGAATGTTTTCATTGCTTTATTGATCATGCAAGTTTTGCAATATGTGTCAATTAACATGTTGTATGATGTCACATTTGTTAAAAGACCATTTTCAAGAATCTTGTTTAGGTACTTTTCGCCTTTCAATGAGCTTCCATTCTTGTATAAAGATTCAATAAGAAGAAGATAAGTATTGAATCCAAGATTTGTGCCTTTTTGAATCAAATCATCAATGATGTCACATGTTTCCATGAGATCAAATCCTTTAAGTAAAGAAGTGATAGTGATGTTGAAAGTCATAGTATCAGGAACATAACCTCTCTTGATAACTTTCTTCAAGAAAATAGCAGTTTCTTTACACATAGATGTGGTTGAAAGACAATGCAAACAAGATTCACAGGCTGCTATGGGTAACACTTGTTCATGTTCTATGAAATCGGATAACGGTTTAAAGGCCTCGAGTGGATGAAAATTACGAAAAAGCCCATTGACTAATGATCTAAATGTAGCTTCATTAGGTCTCACTTTATACTCTTTCATTGTCTCCAAGATCTTAAAGGCTTCTTTGATTCTTTTTGCATTACAATACCCGTCAATAAGTATTGTATAAGTAAATACATTTGGTGAATACCCGATTTCTTGCATTTGTTTCAATAATCTTGAGGCTTCATCTACAACTCCGATTTTGCAGACTCCATGGATGAGGAAGTTATAAGTAAACCTATCAGGGTCGCATCTGTCAGCTTTCATTTGATGGAATTTTAAATATGCCAAGTCAAGTGCATTGGACTTTACCAATGCATCGATTACTGCATTATACAATCTCGTAGTAGGAGTAAGGTCTAAATATGAAATTTGATCGAAAACCTGAGAGCAATACTTTGCTAAACCTAATCTTCCCCAACTGCTTATCAAAATACAAAGTGAATCCTCTGTAATAGAACACCCGGAAGTTCTAACAAGACTAACAAGCTCCTTCGATAATAAAACCGGACCTTTTCTGTAAAAGGTATTTGCTAAAACGCCTCGAATCGATTGGTTCTTCGCGAACAACGGGTTGATATTCGAGACCCACAAATAAAAAATCAAATTATGTAATGGGTTTTCCTGATTCTGTAGAACGCTCACTATAATCCGAGGGTTTAAGCTAAGTTTTTTGGATTTTAGGTCGTGGTTTAGTAGCAAATACCAATCTTTACTCGAAAGAATCTGAGAAATGTACTGATGATCAATGGGTTTATGAGTGGGGGTTTTCGATTGGGAGTTAACTGCAGAAAACTTACCTCTTGCGGTGAAATTAGTGGTGATGACTGGAGGGTTTTGGTGGTGGGATGAAGAATTGGATTGAATCTTTGATTGAATTTGTGACTTGAGTGTAATTTGATTTGGGATTTGCTCAACCCTAGAAGCAAGAGCAGAAAGGCGTCTCATGTCCGCAGAGCCCAAGCACCTGGTTTGAATTGCCAAGTTCAGGTCAGTTAAAAGATTTGGCCAAAACTGAACCGGAATACACGGTTTTTTTTTAAAGTGAACCGAACCCCCCATTCAATCCGAACATTCAATCCAAATAAGACATTGGTTAATTAAAAATAAAAAATCTTATGTTATATACAGTAGTACTAGGGGTGTGCGCAGTGCGGTTTGATGCGGTTTAGAGCCAAAACCGCAAACCGCACCGCACATGCGGTTTGAGTTATTTAGAAACCGCAAACCGCACCGCGAACGTTCAAAACCGCATTATGCGGTGCGGTTTGGTGCGGACGGTTTATGCGGTTTGAGTAATTATTTACATTAAATTTAATGACAATACTATCATTGTCGTCACTAACGGCTCACTAAGTGGTCATTAAGAAATTTGGTGGTCATAGAATTGTGGTCATTAACTACTTATGAATATACATAAGTTAAGAAAACATAGTGTATAAAATAATGGTCACTGAATGTTAGTGGAAAATGAATTTAAGACAAAAAATATGGTCACTCCATTAAATTTTGCATTAAATTTTGGATTAATTAATATTACATTTCAAA